GACTTCTAGTAAATACCTGTTGAAATGAATGTGCAAGGACAAGAAATAAGTCAAGGAAATACATCTTTTCAGAAGAGATTCAGAAGACTTGTGTGATGCTTTGAAAGGTCATGTTTCACTAAAGGTGCTGAGTATTAGAGAATAATCTATGAGGGCTGGGATTTAGCTCAGTGGTTCTGTCACTTGCCTTGCAAGCACAAGGTCCAGAGTTTGATCCCCAGCACCACACACAGACACACACACACACACACACACAGACACACACACACAAAAGAAAATAAACTACAGAGCTTCCATTATCCATGAATTTAAACCATCTGTGACTCCAGACTGCAAATTAGTACCAATTCCTAGAAAAACAAGTCTTTACATTTATTACCCACTCTATAAATAGCATCTCTTGGGGGTCCTTACAGTTACTCTTTAATTCCCCCAATTTCAAAATGCTGTTACTTGGTGAACAAGTCAATTTACTTTGTTTGTAGGTACTCATCGGGCTGTCTCATTGGGTGTATAACCTAGGTATACACCGAGTTGGCACACACTGAAACTTCTTAATCCTGCAGCAGTGGGGAGAACAGCAAATGGAATGCTTAAGAGGACAGTCAGGAAAGACACCTGAATGAAATACCCTCCCCAGCCATGACTCCTTTAACTTCTATCTGTCTTCCCGGCTAACCTTCTACTTCAATCTGCAGAACACAGTTAGGAAGATTTTTATAGTGTTGAGATCTTTCTATTTTCTAAGAGTGACTGGAGTCAGTACTCAGGTTCTACAAATATGCATTATTCTTTCACTGAAAATTTAATTACTAAAGTCCTTTAGCTCACATGTCTACTAAGGAAATTTCTTAATCAAATTTTATAGTAAGTATAAATTTTTCTTTTCTCAGCCTCCAAACCACTCAATTTTCCAAAATTCTTAATTAACATTTATACTTTTTAAGATGAATCATCTTCTCAAACATCTTTTCATTTTTTAATGAACACACATACAATTAGAGTCTTGTCTAGATGTACAGAGTTCAATCTCAAAAACACTGTAGATGAAGTAATCACTGTACATGCTCCTCAACATATTAGGGATTCTCCTGATGTTTGACACTGGAGACTTTCATATTCTCATTCCTTAAAAGTCTCTTGAATAGAAAAGCCTGCCGTTACTTCAAAAATAGGATAATGACCAGAATAGGAAAGAATCAGATTAGAAACCAAAAATTTTAAGTATATATAACCCATGTTTATGTTCCTACCGAAGCTTGTGATACACATAGACTAGAAAGCAGTTCTCAACAAAAGGCGACCTCTCCACACACACTGAGGGACATTCCGTCTGGGAGGGAGTTACTGGCATCTGCTAGGAGGCCAGAGATGCTCCCTAACACATTGCAGTGCCTGGATAGTCCCATAGTGAAGAACTGTCTGGTCTGATGTGCCAAGGTTGAGACTTTTTGAATTAAAGAGACATAGGTCAGTCAGTGCCTGAGAAGGGAAATCAGACTTTAGACTTCCCTGACTTCTGAAAGTTAAAGAAACAGAGAGGGGGAAAAAATGCTGTCTCTGAAGAAATAAAACCATGCACTTTATTTCAAATGAAAGGGGTCATTTTAACTTTATTTCAGACACTTATTCCAGTTCTGTAACTTCCAATCCAAGGAAACTGAAAAGCAGAAACACTAAGTGCACACGAGCCACAAATGCCTCCCACATTTGTTAACTGTGGTGTGGTTGGCAGGGTGGGGAGAGTCGACTTGATTGGCTTTGGGGTCTGCCAAAGAAGCACCCTTCTGGGTGTCTCAGGGGGTTATGAAGGGGTGGCTCTCTGTCTTTCTGGCCCCTTGACCCTCCTCTCTATACTGTTCCCCTGCTCTGCTTCCCAGGCCCCAGGAACTCAGCAGCTTTGCTCCACTGCACCCTTCTGCCCTGGGACCAGATGGCCACAGCTGAATGTCCCCAAACTAAACTTAATCCCCCTTTATTTTGTGGGTGTCAGGTACTGTGTTTCAGCGCTAAGAAAGCTGAATATGTATGGCTTATGTATACTCATTTGCTTTTCAGTTTCCTCTGACTGAAAATTACAGGCTTTTTTTTGGTGGGGGTTCATCTAGTTCAGACTGACCTTGAACTGTATAGCCCAGCTGGCTTGGACTTGAGGTGATCCTCCTGCCTTCACCTCCCAAGTTCTGGGATTACAGGCTGCACTACTACGCCCAGCCTTGATTGTAAATTACAAAATTTAAGGCATTAAACTGAAAGTTTCAAGTACATAATGAGTTGTTAAATACTGTATAAAGACATCCCCACTGACCTGTAGAAAAAGATTTAAATATTTATAATGTGATTGAGAAATTCCTATCTCACCAAGGAATGTTACTAAATCAGACCTCAGAACAGATTTCCTATGGTACAGAACAGATTTCCTATGGTACTACGCCAGTATTCAAAAGCTGATCCTAGATGCATCAAAACCAGTACAACTTCACCCTACCCTCTGTATTCCATAAAATTTGAAGGCTAGTTTTTAAGAAATGCTTCATAAGCACCTAGAAGCAGAGACTATCTAGACAAACTATGGAATAGGTTCCCACATACCACAGGAGCGATTCATGTCCACACATTCCCCTGAAACTCTAGCTTTATGAAATGGGTCTGGATTACCCAAGGTCTCAGACCCACCCTGGATGTTTCTTCAACAGTCCCATAGGCTCTGGCCCAGGTGGAGACTCCTTCTAGTTTAGCTGTGAAGTCCCTCTCCTCAGCCTGTTCTAAGGGGAGGATGCATACAATTTGCTCTCTATTAAGCCTCCTGCTTTCCTGCCCCTTGGCCAAAGTGTTATACAGACTTACCAGCTATAAATACAAGTGCTACTTTGTGTACCTATTTTATTCTTGAGGGTTTACTTAAAACATGGACACAAGTAAACTATCTACTTCATACCTTAAGAATGAGATAGTTTAAAAAATTGTAAAGATTGTATGATTCCAAATAATTTCTTACTCAAAGGATATAAAGGGATATAAAAATATATTATCATGTCTGGGCAACTGGTAAATTTTAATTTTCACTCCAATCATAAGAGACTGAAAATCAAAAGCTTAGGACCACAATCTGCAACCCTCCTACCAAAGTCCAGCCTGTCTTAGGTAAAAAGCTACAAAAAAACCCAAAAAAACAGAAAGTTTCCAGAAACTTTCAGACATTTATAATTAACA